AGGGTTCGCTCTTGTCTTCAAAACAGTGGATGAAAATAAACACAATTAGATAGAAGTTTCTTAGCGTTGTCAAATGTGAAAAAAAATTGGCAAGGTTTTTATCCCCTCCTGGGGATTGGATTTCACGTCAGAAGGAAAGTTGTCATTTCCCTAGCGAAAGAGAGTGAGGAAAGTACCCACGCTATCACAGTAGTCAAGCAGCGTTTACTCTACCCACCTGGGGATCAGTTGTTCCGCTTGGGTGTAGAAGACAAAAGGGTGGGGAGCATCGATCAATTGACAAGGTAAGGAAAAGGAGTTGGTGAATCTTTACTAGGGATTTTGAGGGAGTTGGAGAGTCTGGCAGGGTTTTCCCTCCCCGCTTAGAGTTCCGTCCATAATGGATGAAAAGGGGTATTTAAAATTACAAATTATTGAAATTAACTTCCTCCAAATGAATAAATGAATGAATGACGAGGTTGGTCTCATCCTGAAGGAAGATAGGGACTTGGGACGGAAGGGGAACAAGATGCAAAGGGTTCCGAGCAAATGATTGACCGCATGATGTTGTTCTCACTGATCTTCAGCCATAGCTCAGGGTCTGCCTCGACCTCGAGCTGGTTTCCTATTGGCGTTGACATGACGACGGCGGTGAGGCGCCAGCCTTCCCAGGCCAAAGCTTACCGAGGAAACCTCAGAGCTGAAAGTATCAGATCTAATACCAACCTCAAGCCTCGTGCAACATCCAGCACTCGTAGGAGTGCCAACCAAAGTAGGTGGGGCGTGACAGAGGATTTGGGGCGGGGGACTGAACCGCCAAGGCGAAATCGGGGTTCTCGGCTCAGATCCGAGGGGTCTTCGGAAAACACCGGTTAACAGGGACAATTTCAAAATTGCAGAAATCAAATGAAAAAGAAGTGCAGGACAACCTCAAACCCCTCCTCATGGACGTCGGGACAGGTACGCAAAACTCAATCTTATTTATGGAAGAAATAAAGAAACCCCGCAAAAGAAATGTAACTAATGCCTAATCTACGCCACCCTTGTTCATGCCACCCTTTTCGTAGGGACCAAGGAGAAAAGAGACGCTTTACGCATTTGGGTCAGCCAACATCATCCATCAGATCGACCGGAATCCTCATCATCTGAAGGCGGTGGGAGCGCAAGTACGAAGACTCGGAAGTTCATTGAAAGTGCACCCGTGTTCAGGAAGTGATCCGGAACCGGATGAACCCTTCGTACCCCAACACCAACCTCCACAAGGAACACGAGTTCCCGAGCCGACACCAGTGACAATTAAACAAAGGCTTCGACGTGCCATGCGCCAAGACCAAGGAAGCACCGTGTCGAGCGCATCGGTCCCGCAGGGGGACCCTCCCGGCCACGTCATGCAGGACTTCGCTGTCGCGGAGAGCATTGCACTTCGGCCGAGTGCACCAGTTGTACCTCTTGCAACCCTACGATAGGATAGGGCCACACAAGGCACAACTTACCTCCACCTGCGGGAACTGTCACCATCCCTTAGGTGGGTGTATCCCCCCAGAACTACCGAACCACATGCGAAGATTTTTCGTATGCAATCGCAGAGGTGGCCCAACTGAGGGCGTTTCTCATTTGCCGTAGCTTAGGGGGTACGTGCAGTTAAGGCCCGAATCGAACCCGTGCATGAATCATCGTCTGAGGCGTTGATCTCTCGAACACAATCCGATGTCGGTTGACTAGGACAGTCAGTCTAACCACGCGATACACTTCTCGACAAAGGCTCATGTCTACGTGCAAATCGTGCATCGTCCCTTTTTCCACTCGACCCGTAACTATTATCGTGCTAGAGCATGCTGACGCCATGCGGGAGACTCCGCATAAATGGTTGTCGCAGTGCGAGTTTTGGTCGTATTGACTTAGCCATGCGCGAATACGTGAGCATTTGCGATGATGGAGTACTATGTAGTGCCCATAAACATGTGATCCCCTTTTAATCATGGGACTGCATTCGACAGTCAGGTGTCAGCTTACGCGCTCGCTAAAGGGTTAGTCCTTTAGCGAGCAGAAGCAGATCGAGCACCCCGCCATCTTCTGCGCCATGTTGTGCCCCAAAGTGGGGTAAGGTAAGATGACGCTGAGGGTAGAAGGAAATTTGGAGTGGTGGTGAGTTGTTTGGCGCACCACCAACGACACGTTTACCTTTCTACTCAGAACTCTATCGTTCCACCAAAATAATCTCAAGCAAGAAAAATCAAATCGTCGTGCACTCGAACGTGTACGCCTAGGCTAAACACGGACGGGTGCTGACTAAGACGGTTGTACGCAAGAAATTGGCCAAGCCGCGCATAGTCCCAAAACGGGGCAACTGAACACACATAAAAAAAAATAAAAGATAAAAATAAAAAGATGAAAAGGAGTAAGGGAGAACAGGAAAGAGGGGAGAATTGTTGGCACCCTCTCGGTCCTGCCAGGCGGTCCCGAGCTCGGGATCGGCCACAGAACCAAAGGGGATAGTCCCACCAGACCCTCAACCCTCGGTTCACCCGAATTACACTGCGCAACTCCCTCGTCGTTGGTTGACTTGGATACCCGTACTTGTAGTTTGACATCAAGTGTCCTAACCAATAGGGTTGGGCCTAAATCTAAGGCTACCAGGTGCGAATTTTCATATAAAGAGTATTTGCACCGTGACCGGCCTACCGAACCGTATGAAGGCCACACCTTGGCTTTTTGGCCGAACCCACGACTGCCAAACTCCCTTACCTGGCACGTCAAGGGTTGGATTCCGATTACGGCAACCGTGCACGCCGCCTACCACACTAAAGTCGTGTCGCCGCTAAATCTGGCCCCGCAGGTGGCCACTTTTCCAGACTCACGCCTCTACTATTTCGACAACAAACATAACAATCAAGGTGCGCATACGCAGTGTACGGGACCATGGTAGTTAAAAAATTTAAGCTCTTTTTATCTCACACTGTTGTGTGAGATCACTGATCACACGCCAGTTCTCGGGAACGCCAGGCACCTTAATAAACAACACCCCTCTCAAAGTGCACCCCCCCCACACTCTCTGACCCAACCACACGTGCGCTCGTTGTTCCGACTTCTGAGAGGCGGTTACATGTTGCGCGGAAATTAATGTGTAAGTGCCTTAACTATCATTTCGGATGAAGCCCATGTGAGATGCAAAAACGTGGACAAATATCCTTGTAAGGGTATTTGTGCCGACAAAGGTCGGATCGGTGTATGGCAAAATCAACAAGGGGGAAGAAAACCGATCAATCAGCACAAGCCCAACTCCCCCTATATGACACGCATTAGACAGATAATAGAAGTGAACCCAATTGGTCCGCAATATCGTCCTCCACACATCCACGTCGCAGTAAAGTTCGTCTTTGTTTGCGATCGGAAAAAGATGAAAGTCGCTATGGTCCATCGGTGCAAGGTTCGAGCATAGGTAATTACCTGTGCTCACGCTCAAGTTAAAAAACCTTGACTCCATGCAATTCTCAACCTGTTCAACCGAAACCCGACACCCGATCACAATGCAAGCTAATTGCATGAGGGCTCTAGTCAAAACTGCCACCTTTGACCAAATGGCGATGGTCGCGAGGCAGGGAGATCAGGTGGTATGACTTAGTCGCCCACACTAGATGTCACTGGTTATACACTAGGTGAACGCAGGAACCGACACGTGGCACTTGTGCACAGGGAGATAGGAGAGAAAGAGGCGAGTGACGACCTCGCACGAGCACGCAGCACGGGGATCGAACAGTTAGTCGGGGCAGAAGGGCATCAACACACTCATACATCCATATAGACTTTTTGACAATGAAGCATTCAGCATCCATAGACACTTACAACCAAGGTCATGCACACTATTGAGCATACATACACTTAGTTTTTGGCACATATGAACACATGGACAAAGCAGCGATGGAGAAGACGCGAAGTCCCTCGCTATTCAAAAGTATCATCAACAATGTTGGCAATCCCCGTGCACAGCCACCATATCCAACCAAGTGTGAGCCAACATAGCTACAAGGCCCTGCTACCAACCGCACTTTGGTCTTCACTACCGCTTAGTCCCTCCGACTACCACACCCCGAGTGTACCGCTAAGTCCACCACATGTCGTCACTCCACCCAATCCTTGGGCATGTCGAGTGTGTTCAACACCACAGTCTTCGTGCATAGCTCGCACAGCATTGCAACCGAGATCAAAGGGGATGAAAGGAGGGGGTTGTGCAAACTTATAGCGTGGAAGGCGGCGGGGCACCGGTGTGTAATGTAGACCGCAAGGGGTTTAAATGAGGAGGATGGAAGAGAAAAGGATCTAGAAAGCCAAGAAGGGCGGGACAATCAAAATTTTATCACAATTTAGGTGGTCATTCAAGCCGGGCACGGAAGTTCACTCTTATGGCTTCAACTGGCTACCAATCAATCATGTTGAAGGACACAGGGGGAGGATACAACAAAGGGCGAGAGAGAGATAGAGAGATGCATTTATACAAAGGGCCTCGTTAGACACTCCTAAAAGTTCCTGTTTTTAGGATTGCGTCTTGGTTGCACGCAATCCTAAATCGGACGCGGGAATCGAAAATGTGAAAACGGCGTTAGGACTCGTCCTAAAAGATTTAGGATTCGCCAGCCAAATCGTCCTAAATTTTCCAGTAGCCCCGGACCTACTGAAAAATTTAGGATTCCCGCGTTTCACGGAGTTGCCGCGTCGCGAGAATGGCACCGTCGACACGGAGGCGCTGGTCCAAGAGAGGTCCGTCGGGTCGGTGGGCGGACATCGGAGGTTTTCTGCAGGTCGACGACGACAACGGCCCCCAACGGTAGCCGTTGGCCGGTGGGGTGGAGCGCGCGGGGCGAAGCGTGGCCTGGCGGGCAGCCGTTGCGGACCGTTGGCTCGAATGCGGGCAACGGAGGAGTCCCCAGATGTGCGCACAACGACACATGGAGGCGGCGTGGGCGGCAACGGTCGGCTTTTGAATCGCAGGCGCGAACGTTTGTCGTCTTCGCTGCCGGTCGACGGCATATGAAGGTCCAGCGGCATTGTCCGCGGGCTTGCGAGGAGAAAGTTGAGCAGGACGTCACGTGCAAGGTCGCCTGTCCACGTCGAATTCATGGCAGACATGCAGAGGAGATTGCCTCTGCTGCTTCTCGTTGTGGTCGTCTTCGTCTTTGTCGTCTTCCTCCACGTGTGCTTGTCGTGCCGGCCGTGGAAGCAACGTCGCAAGCGCAGGGCGTCAAGGAAAGGCGTTGTGCTTCAAGAGGGATGTCCCATGGCGGGCATGCAGGCACGCGCTGTTTTGCCTGCAGCTGAGGGCGGAAGAAAACCTGCGACGACGGAGCCTTCACAGCGGTACGCCCCGTCCATGTACAGCCATCTGCCGTCGTGGGAAACGCCGCTGCCTCCCTCGGACAAGGAGTCGGAGGGGGATGAACTTCCAACGTTTCCTCTCGGCAGCGAGTCGACGCAGCTGTTGTTGCAGACGGTGCTCGCAGGTGGGTCGGCAAGCAACGGACGCGGCGAGTACACGACACTTCTCCAGCAGGGCTTGGGAGATGACGACGACGGGGGAGTTGATCTCCGGTTCGGGTTGTGTTTTGGCGGCGGTAGGGAGCCGAGCCGCACGTTCATCATCGACGCCGATCCTTCACCACGTGGCGTTCAACAATCTGGAAGTCGCCATACAGAGCAGTCCACACTTCGTGGCGGTGCGTTCGTTACTGGCGGTGTCGGGCCATCAGCATCAGGCCGGCAGTATGGATCGAGTGCAGCGTCCGCCGATCGATTGATAAGCACCTGCCCCGCACGCCATGGAGTCGCAGTCGGGTCCCTGCGCATCGGCGGTACACGTCATTCGATGCCCAAAACCACAACGCCGGCCCAACCCGACCTCAGGGACGACGGCACGTGCAGACCAGCGGTGCGTCCAGCACCCAGTGTGGAGAACATCACACGAGGAGTGTCAAACATGCGGGCACACAGCGATGGCGGCGACGGCGATGGTGGTGGCGATGACGATGCCGACGAATGATTCGGGGAGGACATGGAGGCAGGGGACGATGACGACGACATTCCTATTCGGCCTTTGGGGAAGACGGGTGGGAGGGGGAGAGGACACAGTAGGGGTGCTGTTCGTGGTCGATCCGTTGGCCGTGGGGGCAGAGGTGGCGTCAGCGACGACAGCGGGAAGTCTGCGACGTACTGGTCCCCGGAAGAGCAAATGCAACTGGTGAGATGCAAGCGGGAGCAAGAGATGCACCTCGCCGGTCTCGGTCACAATTACGGGCGGATGCGGACCAAGGAGTGGAAGTGGGACGACATTGCCAAGCGCATGGCGAACGCGGGGAGGCCTAAAGACGCGGAGGACTGCATGAAGAAGTGGGACAACATCTTCCAAAACT